ACACACACACACACACACACACACACACACACACACACACACACACACACACACACACACACACACACACACTGCAAGTCCTGGGGCTTGAACTCAGGGCCTGAGCACTGTCCCTGAGCTTCTTCTGCTCTAGCAGTCTACCACTTGAGCCACAACACCACTTCTGGCTTTTTCTGTTTATGTGGTACTGAGAAACGGAACCCAGGGCTTCATGTGTGCTAGGCAAGCACTCTAACACTACGCCACATTCCCAGCCCCCTATATACAATTTTTATATTTTGGTTATAAACCAAGATTCACAAAGACACAAGGCAGCCAGCTTGGGTACTGAGATGTAGACATCTTGCTCAAAGAGTGCTTGCCTAGTCGAATACCTGTGATTGATCTTTGTCTTGTGTGAAGACTTGCCACAGATTGTTAATAGATTAGTAATATTATAGGCTTATGCCTATAATCCTAGCTACTCAGGAGTCTGAGATCTGAGGATCATGATTTGAAGCCAGCCTGGGCAGAAAAGTCTGCAAATCCATGAGACTCTTACCTCCAATTAGTTACCAAAAAGCTAAAAGTGAAGCTGTGGTCATAGTGGTAGAGTTGACCAAAAAAGAGTTGAGTAGCTTTGAGCAAAAGAGCTTAGGGTCATTGATCAGCCCTGAGCTCATTCCTCAGGACCAATACAAAAAAAGCAAAAGGGGGAAAAGCATATAATATAGACTAGGTACCAGTGGCTTACACCTATAATTCAAGCTACTCAGGATACTGAGATGTGAGAATTGAAGTTTGGAGCCAGCTCAGGAAGACAGAGCCACAAGACTCTTATCTCCAAGTTAACCACCAAAAAGTTAGACTAGAGGCTCAAGTGGTAGACTACCAGTTGTGTATGAAAAAGCTGATCAAGAACACAAGGCCTTGAATTCAAACTCCCATACTGGCATATAAAGAAATGGAAACTGGGTGCTGGTGGCTCATGCCTATAAGCCTAGCTACTCAGGAGGCTGAGATCTAAGGATTGTGGTTCAAAGCCAGCCCAGGCAAGAAAGTCAGGGAGACTCTTATCTCCAATAAACTACTCAGAAACAGCTGGAAGTGGCATTGTGGCTCAAGTGGTAGAGCATTAGCTTTGAGCACAAAGAGGCTCAGGGACAATGCTCAAGCCCAAAGTTCAAGCCCAGGATGGGCAAAAAAAAAAGTGTATTATGGCATGGTGTGTTGGTGCATGCTTGTAATTCCAGCAAGTGCTCTACCAGTCAAGCTGCTAGGACTTAGAGATTGGAGGATCATAGTTTGAGAGGCAACTTGGGCAAGAAGTTGCTGAGACCCCATCTCACCCAATAAGTTGGGTGTTGTTTTTTTTTAATTTTTATTTGCAGGTACTTTTTTTTGTTTGTTTTTGTGGGGTTTTTTTTGGGGTCCAGTCGTGGGGCCTGAACTCTGGGCCTGGGCGCTGTCCCTCAGCTCTTCAGCTCAAGGCTAGCACTCTACCACTTGAGCTACAGTGCCACTTCTGGCTTTTTCTGCTTATGTGGTGCTGAGGAATCGAACCCAGGGCCTCAGGCATGCAAGGCAAGCCCTCTACCATTAAGCCACCTTCCCAGCCCCAGAACTTCATTTTCCTTAAGGTGAATACTAGTCAGGATGTGGTATGTACATCCTGACTATCTGTATTCCATTAATTCACTGATGATTATCTCTATCCCATTAATCAGCATTGGATGTCTATTTCTAAATCTTTTGGCTATTGTGGGTGATGCTATTGTGAAAGTAGGTCATATATTTTTTCTTTGTGATACTGGGATTTGAGCACTATTCCCTCCATTTGCTAAGTGCTCTAAGCATTTCACCACATTTCCAGGCCCTTTTCAACTTCCAGCCCATCTTCTGCTACTTTTGTTTTTTTTTTTTTTGTGTGTGTTGGTCCTGGGACTTGAACTCAGGGTCTGAGTGGTGTCTTGTGCTTTTTTGCCTCAGGCTAGTGCTCTACCACTTGAGACTCACCTCTACTTCCAGCTTTTTGCTAGTTAATTGGAGCTAAGCGTCTCACAGACTTTCCTACTTAGGCTGGCTTTGGACCTCAATCCTCAGATTTCAGCTTCTTGGATAGGTAGTTAGTGTGTGCCACTAATATCTGGCTTATAATTATTTTTTTCTTTTTTTTTGTCAGTTGTGGGGCTTGAACTCTGGGCCTGACCACTGTTCCTCAGCTATTCAGCTCAAGGCTAGTGCTCTACCACTTGAGTTACAGCACTACTTCCAGTTTTCTGGTGGTTTATTGGAGATAAGAGTTTCATGGACTTTCCTGCCTGGACTGGCTTTGAACAGTGATCCTCAGAACTCAGCCTTCTGAGTAGCTAGGATTATAGGCGTGAGCCACCGTTACCTGGCTTGGCTTATAATACTTTTTGTGTGTGTTGGTCCTGGTGCTTAAACTCAGGGCTTGGGCACTGAGCCCGAGCTTTTATGCTCAAGACTAGTGCTCTACCACTTGAGTCACAACCAGCTCCACTTCCAGTTTTTTTGTGTGTGGTTAATTGAAGAGTCTCATGGATGGGGTTGGAGGAATGGTTCAGGTGGTAAGAGTATCAGCAATGAGTGAAAGTGTCAGATACTGAGTTTTAGTCTTAGTCTTGAACCTCCCCCCACCCCCCAAAAGAAAAGCCTCATAGACTTTCCTGCCCCAGCTGGCTTCCAACTACAGTCCTCAATCTCAGCTTCTTGAGTAGCTAGGATTATAAACATAAGCATATATATATATAATTTTAGGCCAAAGACTTTGCTAAAGTCATTTATTTTCCTATGGTAATCACTAATAGTGTTCACAAACAATTTTCCAGCTTTCTGTCCTGTGGGAGTATACTAAGATTACAACTTTGGGCTCCTTTGTGCTGTGTGGGGTGCAGGACTAGTGCTGGCCAATGAATGATGACATTCCTCTGGTCTGATCAGAGCATTTTACTGTGGGTGTGAGCCCCCTTCACCACAGAAACTAACAGACTCAAGCTGGTTATGGATTATTTGTTGCCTTGGGTATTAGAATGAGGAGATGTAGAGCTGGGGCTTTGTCTGATCCATGATGGTTGTCCAGTGTTGTGGATTGAATTGGGTCCTGGAAAACTGCTATTGGTATTCAGAGATGGGGCTTTAAGGAAATAATTATGGTTAATGAGATAATAATGATGGGGATCTGATCTGATCTGAGTCCCTGTAAAAGAGAACCCTAGAGTGCTTTCTGCCTCTGTTTTTTTCTCTCTCTGTATCTGTCTCTGTCTCACTGTCTTTCGCT